TCCATCTGAAATACTTCCAAGTTCTTGTGTGCTGCATATGCCAAGAAGATGCAAACAGATTCCAACCTTGCAATGGGTGCGAAGGTCTCTTCGTAGTCAATACCTTCTTCTTGGCAATACCATTTCACCTTGAGTCTTGCTTTGTTCCTGATAACGTTCCCTTCTTTATCCATCTTGTTGTGAAACACCCATTTCAAACCAACAACTGATGCATCTAGTGGAGTTGGAATCAGTCTCCAAACCTTGTTACGTTTGAACTCATTGAATTCATCTTGCATCACTTGAACCTAATCAGAATGATCAAGAGCTGTGTTGACGGCTTTGGGTTCAATCTTGGATACGAAAAAATTAAACATACAAAATTCTACTTTAGAGAATAATGCAATTTGCGTTGCTTTTAGTTGAGATCGTGTAAGGACACCTGCAGACGATTCATCAATGACTGGAATTCCGGGTGATCTCTGGTCCATCTGGACAGAGGAGGATAATTTGGATCATAAGATGGATCCAGTTCAGCATTCACCTTTTTGAATTCTGAGTGAACATCCGAATCATCATTTTCTTCTTTATTCTCCCCCTCAAATGATGAGAACTTCCCAACTTCAGGAATGGAGTCGCCTTCTACGAATGGAGGTTCGTGAGTTATTATGGGAGGTGAATATTCCCCATTAGAAGGAGGCTTAGAAGAAAAGGTTGAATTAAAATCCTCCCCTACAGTGGAGTATTCGAACTTTGAGGTGTAGAACCCTCCTCCTAGAAACGTGCATTAAACTCAGGATTCTCCCCCTGGAATGTAGTGTTCGTGACTTGAGGGATGTTCGCAGTTGATGGGTGTTGGTACATTTCTTTCATAGAGTCATCAATGATCTTTTTAATTCATCGACTTTGTTGTTAGCTGCTCTTGCTTCAGATTAGATGTCTTTCCTAGGCTCGTCAAAGAGCAACATGAATTCCTCATACAAATTTGAGATGGGAATTGTGGTAGGACTAGGCTTAGGAAAGATTTCCTTCATGTGACTTTCATACGACTGGATCCTCTTCAATTAATTGTCGTCAAACGTGACATAATAGGTTTCTTCTATTTTCTTGGATCGTTTGTTAAGAACCCTGTATGCCTTAGAGGTCAGTAAATATCCCAAGAATATACCCTCGTCAGCTTTTGCATCGAAGTTGTTTCGTTGTTCCTTGGAATTGAATATGAATCATCTGGAACCAAATATGTGGAAAAACTTAACATTAGGTTTGTGATTATTTAATATTTCATAAGGAGTAACAGAAAACCGCTTATTCATGATGAATCTTTTTTGGTTAAAGCAAGCAGTTGCAATAGCATATACCCAAAAGTAGAGTGGCAGACATGCGAATGTCAGCATAATTCGTGTAGCTTCACATAAAGAATAGTTTCATCTTTCAACTACACCATTCTGTTGTGGAGTATAAGGAGTGGAAAAATTGTGTGACACTCCTTTTTCAGCAAGAAAATTCTTCAAACACATGGTTTTTGAATTCAAGTCCATTGTCGCTATGAACATTTTCGTAATTGAAGCTCAATTTGCTTTATGAAAGCTTTAAGTTTTGACGTTGCTTCAGACTTCTATTTAAGAAAATACACCCAAGTGAAACTTGAAAAATCATCAACTATGACAAGAATGTACATATTACCACCAACACTTTCAATTGAAGAAGGGCCACAAATGTCGATGTGAAGAACCTCCAAGGGTCCAATGACTTTCGTGCTTACAATGGTTGGATGACTCTTCCTGCTTTGCTTTCCCATTTCACAGGCTGCGCACAAATGATCCTTGTCAAATTTTAAGAGAGGAAGTCCTCGCACATGATCACCAAGAACAAGCTTGTTGATGTCTTTGAAGTTTAAGTGCGAAAGTCATCTTTGCCATAACCAGCTTTCTTCTGAGTGAGCTTTCGCAAGCGAGAAGATGGTGGCTTCCCTCGTATTGGATTTAAATTCAACTGATACATTTCACCTTTTCATTGAGACTTTAGAAGAACAGTCTTTGTCTTCTTTTCAATGATTTCAGATCCTTTATCATCGAACGATACCTTCAACCCCATTTCCATAACTAATTGCGAAACATTGATGAGATTGCGTTGTAGGCCTTCAATGTATGCCACTTTAAGAATTGAGAAGTCTCTATTCGTTATAATTTCATAGCCTTTGATTCTTCCAAAAGAGTTATTCCCATACTTGACATTTCCACCATCTTTAAGAGCCCAAAACTCTCGCAACTCCTCCTTTCTCACTCTCATGTGACTCAAGCAGCCACTGTCAATGTACAATTCAGTGTTGAACTACTTGTCACGAATTACCTGTAAAAATTAAGTAGATTTAGGAACCCAAAGTTCTTGGGTCCTTGTGAGCTTTTCACAGAAAGAGGAAAAGAAACAACGAGATCAACCATATATGTTCTTTTAATTGTGTGGTTTCGTCTTTTCTTTTTATGGTGAAAACTTTTGTCTTGTTGTTTTTCATGTTCGTTCCTTTTGAATCAGATGATTTTTGCTTATTTTTAATTTGATTCTTAACGAATTCCTTTTCGTCTCTCTTAGGGTTAGCATGTGTTTTCTTGATTGCAATTTCACGATCCGAAACTAGCTTTCCCTTGCCTTTGATATCTTGGTAACACCCTTTGTGGATTGAGAATAATGGGGTTTTGGCTTTTCCATGGGCTTCTTTGAAAAGAATGGTTTGTGAACAACCTCTTGTTTAGAGTCCCCGACACTGTGAGAGTGGCAATGCGAATAATGATTGGGATTCGCATGCAAGGAAGCTTTCACATTTTGATTGGCATGTTTTTCCTTGTGAACATAGTTAGGATTTTGGGATTGCTAAAATTGCTTCCATTCGTTGAGATTTCGTTGATATCTCACATTTTTCTGGTGTTTTTGATCTGCAAGTTGCTCTGATGACTTGTGGATGTTCGCTTTTAGTTTCGCTTTTTTCCACCACTTTCGCCTTTCATCGATTTAGGTTCGCTTTGAACTTCATTGGTACCACTTGGGCTACCTTTCTCAAATGTTGAGCCATTGTTCAGTGGTTTTGCCACATATCTTCCCTTCACTTTCCACGAAGTTTTTTCAAACAATCGGATGGTTTCGTCAGCATTATCTATTGGGGCAGATCAAAAGAACTCATCGCAATCATCTTTGTTGTCATTATCAACAATGGACGTTAATTCAACAGTTTGTGTTTCGTCTACTCCATCAGTTTAAAGAATTGATTAGGTATAGTTTGGACTTTGGCAAAAAACAATTGGTTTTTCATTCAAAATTTAGAGTTTGTTTTGAGAAATACGTGCGAACTCCACTGAATTTTCAGAAATTAGAGCTTTCGCAGGTGTAGATTCGTTTTTTAACAAACTCTGAGCAATCTACCTCATCCTCTACAGAGATGTCACTCATATCATTATCCTCGTCGAATTCAGATGTGCTTTCAACATTTATTTTATTTTCTGAACTCAATTTGGCATTCAATGAGTCAAATTTCTGCATAGTGTCGGACTTGATTTGCTTTTTTTTCATTTTCATCAAAATTTGTTTCAACATGCTTTTATGGTCCTTGGACTTAATGTAAGTTTCAATTCGTTCCAGCCCATATTTGTAAGCATCAAAGATTTCTTCAAAAGACACGATGGATTCACATTTATAGCAATCAACATCGATTTTATCTTCCTTTAATTCAAGAAAGGTAAAATCATCTTGTGGATTTTCTTACCAATCTCCCAATCAAGGTGCAACTGAGTAATGTTAAAATAATGTCTTTTAGCAATTAAACAAAAGATATTACGTTGTCTTAAAAGCATTAAATTGTCTCGTTGCAAATAAATTGATTCATCCCTAGAATTAGACAAATCAGACTCGATCTTCTGAATCCATATGCACCTCTCATCACTTTTCGACGAAACCCTCTCAATTGATCGGTTAGGTTAGAGTTTGTCAACCGAGTTCGTTCTAAACTATCACTAATGCTTGAAAAAGTGAATTTTAGGTCAATTAATTCAGTCTCATATCTAGACACAGGTATATTGAGAGATTCAAGAATAGAGTTTACCTTGTTAATCAGCTGTTCTGTAATGTATCAAAAATACAACCCAAATTTTTTTGTTTTAAAACATAACTAAAATCATAATATATAAATTTCATATAATAGCCCATGAAGCATGCATCTCAAAATGTCATATCAAATGGATCAAATCATAACTGTGTCTAACATATCAAATATTTGAGTAAAACTCCGAGGATAAAAACTGTAACTGTGGTGTGTGTCATACCATCAACGCGAGCTCTAAGCCAAGATGTATATCTTCAAGAGCCAAAGCTGCCTAATTCTAATTTTGAGTTGTCTTCTTCTCAGATGCATTGTTCGTGTTTCTTTTTGTTTTGTGTCTCTTTTCGTGTTTCTTTTTTTCCTTTCGAGGGATTAAATCAATGGTTGTGAGGAAGGATGATGAGGGTGGTGCAGGGGCAATGGTGGAATGAATTTTAATAGATTCAGTCAGCAATGTTTTTGGTACGAGCGAGCCAGACATTGTTGACCCGGTCAAATGCAAAGCTGAAGCATATAAAACACAATGTTTTTGGTATGAGCCAATCAGATCAAAATCAAACAGGGTCTTAATAGTGGTGGCCGACAGCATGTCGTCTTTAAGGTAATGTGACCATTTTAGGCATCAATTGCGATGTTATTTGTCGTTGCCAAATATACATTTTTTTTGTGAGATTAATATTATATGTTGGTAAAACTTATTCAACAAACGATACATAGATTTAACTTTCGTATATGAATACCCTCATTCTGGAATGATCAATTCGGGAGAAAATGGTCATTTTACAAAAACAAAAAAAACAAAATAGATTGGTTATTATGATTACATTCTTATGGATTAGATTACTCAATTTTTAAAGAAGATACAATTTTGAAAAAAAAAATAGAAACCATTAAAAATAGTTTGTATTCTAAAATTTTCTACTAAAAAAGAAAAAGAAAAGCAACCCGACAGAAAAGCGGACTTCCAAAGCGACCGCTAATTATGGTTGTCGTTTCTTTTTTGTTGTGTTCATACGTAGCACCATGTTACACAAACAAGTTCAGTCGAATTATTTTACAAATAAATAATCCTAGTGATCACCTAATCTCGGTCCAACAAATTCCAGATAATTTCACACAGAAAACAGGTCGAGGTTTTATAAACATTATGGTAACCATTCCGGTGATGACGATAAGCTCTTCCGATGGTCCGAGGCCCATGCCAGTGATCGCAATGGGCACAGCATCAGACTCAGGCATCAGTGGAAGTGATGTGATGTCATCATCGACTATAGTTGAAGCTATTAAGGTGGGTTATCGTCACTTTGACACCGCTGCAGTATACCGAACTGAGAAACCTCTCGGTGAAGGTATCAGCGAAGCACTCCGGCTGGGTCTTATCAAGTCTCGATCTGAGCTTTTCATAACCACGAAGCTATGGTGTGCCTCCGCTGACCGTCATCTTGTTTTACCCGCCATCAATCAGAGTCTACAGTAAGAAATTTCATACTTTTTATCATCTTTCTTGGAAATTTTGATCACTACGCAAGGAATAGCTTTCTCAGAATCTGTTTTTATCAAAATTGATAAGTAGTTAAGGAGTTTAAAATTATGAATTGGAATATCATATGGTCCTAGTAAACAAGTTTTTGTTGTCAAAATTTTAAGATAATTAAACGTAAGGCTATAATGGTTGCATAGGAGATGGATTGTGTAGATAATAATTGAATGAACGTCCACCATGTTTTTCAAATAAAATGAAAACTTAGACATTGAGAATATACAACCTAATGTAGGAATCTGGGATTAGAGTATGTGGATTTGTATCTTATACACTGGCCACTAAAGGTAATCCAAGATGAATTCAAACTTCCCGTTCCTAAGGAGTGTGTAGCCGCAATTGACATCAAAGCAGTATGGGAAGCAATGGAGGAGTGTCAAAATCTCGGACTCACCAAATCCATTGGCGTCAGCAATTTTTATCCAAAATTGATTCAACAAATTCTTTCCTTTGCAAAAATCCCTCCTGCTGTCAACCAGGTGATCATCGTTCACTCATACAATTCAAGCAGCTAGCTTGATCTTATCAGCAAAATGATTTATGATAAGTTTAATACAATTCAAACTGGAAATATGTTACTAACATCATTAAAATCTGGTTTGAAGTTTGAGATGAACCCACTTTGGCAACAAAAGAAACTAACTGGATTTTGCAAAGAGAATAGCATCCTTGTGACTGCTTACTCCCCTTTAGGTGCTTTCGGCAATAATGCATGGGGACACAACCGCGTTATGGAATGTGATGTTCTCCAAGATATTGCAAAGTCCAAAGGGAAGACAGTGGCTCAGGTATGTCTTTATTGTTATTGGTTAAAGTGAATAACGCATTGACTATGAAGTCAAACACTAACAATTTGACATGAAAAGCCTATCTCTATAATATGGTGAACACATGTACTGAATTTCTACTATTTATGTGCAGATTTCTTTAAGATGGCTATATGAGCAAGGTGTAAGTATCGCAGTAAAGAGCTTCAATACAGAAAGAATGAAGCAGAACCTAGATATCTTCGGCTGGTCCTTGACTAAGGAGGAAATGGAAAAAATCGACCAGATTCCTCAACGCAGGCATGTGTATCTAATAGGTTCAATGTCAATTGAGCCAAACGATATAATGGCTGAGATTGATGCAGAGCTTGATTAAAGAAGTAATCAGATCAGTGAAAATAAATGTTAATGATCAACACTTTTACATACTCTAATGTGATATCATCAATTTGTTTGCATGCTTATATACTGTTTTATTGGTTCCTAGTCGAACTCTTTAAGCACTAACATGCACATCTAGCAGAACAGTTTTCCTGCAAGGCTGCAAGCAACAAAGAGCTTGATTAAAGAGATAATCCGATCAGTAAAAGAGTACAAAAGAGACCAAAGATATATGAAAAAAACTAAGACGTGAAAGGAACTAAGACGTGTGAAAATAAACGACTTCAATTGAAGGGATCATCCACAAGTATCGTTGATGGTGTCAGCCATAGCTGGTCCATATGTGACCATCCAAAATTGTGTTAGTGTAAGGTCTTCGTTTTCTTCTGGAAATATTCCTGTATGTAACAGATTAGTAGCAAACGTGGTCGTTAAGGCTCGAGTTGGACTCGATTCCCTTAAACAGATTCGCCGTCTGTTTCTAGGATACAACAACCTTAAGAGTGTGTGCTCTACCGGATATTTCCACTTGCCTGAAAAAGTCGCCGGAAGGAAGCAAGTGTACAAAGAAGGAGGAGTAAGAAGAGTATTTTTATTCGTGTGTCAAATGAGATGGTAGTGGTCTCCTTTTAGTTGAAACGTAATAGAAACAAATCAATTCGATATTAAGCAATTGATTGTGCATTGAATGCCAATAAATGTCATTAATTACGTAATTAATGCATCCGTTACAAAATTCAAAATAAGGACCAAAACTGTCAAATTTAGCAAAAATAAGGGTAGCACGAACCCGAGTTTTCGGAGCTGCATTCGTGTCCGTAGGTCACGCCTATGCACAAGTTCGGTGTTTTTGGTCTACGAAATCCAATATTTGCACCCGTTTTGCGCGCGGGTAGGAATTATAATAAAACCATAGACACACGCTTGTAAGCCTTTCATGCATTCAAGCTTATAAACCTTGTTGAGTTTGGTCTTTCTACCAATGTGGGACTCGTTCTCACATTCATCTCTTTTGCTAAATTTATTCTCAAATACACATCTTTAAGTATTGATATATCATTCACATATATTCTATTTTGGACATATAATATATCGTTTCGAAGTTGTCACGCAGGAGAACACAATCCCACTTAGAATTAATTATATATACATCATATGTATATATTTATATATTTCAAAAGTTAGTAAAATCTAAATATTTATACTAAAATTTCCAACAATTCTTCACATGAATGGAGATCGATCTCTGTACATCCAATTTCCAAATAGAATTTTCAACAGTTGAATCTTGCATAAGATAGGTGGGTATCACCCTTTGAACCCTCCCTTAAGAAATTACACTTAATCTCCTAGCAGTTAATAGATCTCAATCTCTTTGAATTGAGCTGTCATTTGTGTAGACGATAATGTAATTCTCATAGGACTCTCCTTGACAAGGTCATATCCTCATAGACGTGTTCGTTTTGGTCATGAACACTAACCTTGTTCTACAAGAGCTTTAGGAATTGTGCCCCCATAATTCCCTTCAAAGTGATCCCACTTCTCTCTCACATAGGTGATTCCAAGAATCATTAAAAACCATATGTTTATCCTAATTTTCTCACTACATATAGGAATGGGCTAGGAAGTAATGTTAACCCCCTAGTGACCTGCCTCACTCACACAATTAGGTTATCCTTTTGAACCTAGATCTTGGGATCTCTAGTTTTCTGGGTAAGGTTTCCTTCGTATGAATTTATTAATTCATGGGATTTAGTCCCATTCCTCTTGATGACTTATGAACTACATCTCTGTTCAAGCCTTTTGTACGCGGATCCGCAATGTTATCCTTTGACTTCACCCAATCAACCGTGATAACCCCCATAGAGATTAGTTTTCGTATCGTTTTATGTCTACGTCTAATGTCTCTTGGTTTCCTATTATACATTGTACTTTGAGCTCTACCAATTGCTGATTGGTTATCACAATGTAGACATATGGCCGTTACCCGCTTACGCCATTCGGGAATGTCCTCTACAAATTGACGTAGCTACTCCGCCTATTCAACACAAATATCTAAGGCGATAAATTCATATTCCATCGTGGATCTGGATATAACTGTTTTCTTGGATGATTTCCAGGCTACAGCAACACCTCCAACTGTAAACACATATCCACTTGTGGATCCGAAGTCTTTTATGTCAGATATCCAATTTGCATCTGTGTATCCTTCGATAATTTTTGGATGTATGCCATAATACAATCCATATTCTCGCGTGTATCTCACATACCTTAGCAACCTCGTAATACTCTTCTAGTTTTCAGAACTGGGTTTACTAGTGTATCTACTTAGTCTTCTCACAACATATGCTAAGTCAGGTCTGGTACAACTCATTAGATACATCAAACTACCAATAATTCTTGAATATTCCACTTGATTAACATTGTCACCTCTATTTTTACGTAGATGTTGACCAATGTCAATTGGAGTTTTAGCTATGTTAGTATCTCCCTTAGCAAAATTTTCAAGAATCTTATCTATATAGTGTGTTTGACTTAAAATCAAACCACTTTGGGTTGTTCTGATCTTGACTCCAAGAATAACATCCGCTAAATCCATATCTTTCTTGTCAAACATGGATTTCAACATATTCTACGTGGATCTTATTATCTTGTCATCACTACCAATGATAAACATATCATCAACATATAAACACAGGATGACATAACCACAAGTGATGTTTTTCACATAGATACACTTATCTCACTCATTGATTCTAAAGCCACTATCCATCATGACTTGATCAAACTTTTGATGCCATTGTTTTGGAGCTTGTTTTAATCCATATAGAGACTTAACAAGTTTCCAAACCTTGTTCTCCTATCCCAAGGCAACAGAGCCCTCAGGTTGCTTCATATAAATTTCTTCTTCCAACTCCCCATTTAGGAAAGCAGTTTCCACATCCATTTGATGAACTTGTAGGTTTCTAATAGCTGCAATGGCAAGAACTAATCTAATGGATGTTATCCATATTATCGAAAAGCACGTATCAAAGTAGTCTAAACCTTCCTTTTGTCTATAACCTTTGATTATTAGTCTTGCCTTGTATTTATCAATACTACCATCAGGTTTCATCTTTCTCTTAAAAATCCAGCGGTAACCCAGTGGCTTATTACCTGGAGGTAGATCCACCAGTTCCCACATATGATTTTGTAAGATAGATTCTACCTCATTTTTAATGGCTTCTTTCCATTAAGGTCCATTAGAAGAAGTAACCGCCTCTTGGAAGGGTTTAGGTTCACTTTCCACCACATAGGTGTAAAAATCATCACCAAATGATTTTTCAACTCTAGCCCTCTAACTTCTTCTGAGTTCTATCTCTTCTTCCTCGGATTGAGCTTGTTCTTCTTCTCGAACAGCTTCGTTTTTTGGTAAAGATGGGCTTTCAACCTCCTTGTTCAAAAACGGAAATACATCTTCAAAGAATGAAACATTCCTTGATTCCATTATGGTATTCTTGTGTATTTCAGAATTTTTAGAATCATGCATAAGGAAATGATAAGCACTACTACTTTGTGCATACCCAATGAATACACAATCCACTGTTTTAGGACCTAACTTTTGTACCTTATGCGGTGGTACAACAACTTTAGCTAGGCACCCCCACACACGTAAGTACTTATATGATGGTTTTCTTCCCATCCAAAGTTCATACGGTGTTTCATTCTTTTCTTTGTGATGTATCTTATTTAGTAGATAGTTAGCCGACAAAATAGCCCCCCCCCCACACACACACACATCGACTAGTTTACACTCGAACTAATTATCATGGCGTTGACCATTTCTTTCAAGTTACGGTTCTTTCTTTCATCAATTCCATTGGATTGAGGTGAATAGGGTGATGTGAATTCATGATGAATTCCATTACTCGCACAAAATTCAACATAAGGAGAAACATATTCTCCACCCTTATCACTTGTAACTACTTTAATTCTTTTGTTGAGTTGATTATCAACTTCATTTTTGTACAAGACAAACTTGTCTATTGCTTCATCTTTACTCTTAAGTAAATATATGTAACAATATTTCGTGCTATCATCGATGAATGTAATGAAGTATTTGCTCCCACCTTGAGTAGGAATTGACTTTAAATCACACACTTTAGTGTCAGCTAAATCAAGAGGTTCAGTGTTTCTTTTGATTGTTTGGAAAGACAATCTAGTTTGTTTGGCTTCAACACATGTGGGGTATTTGTGATTTGAGTCAATATTAAGTTTTGGTATGTAGTCTAGTTTAATTAATCTTTTAATAGAATTTTAATTTATGTGTCCTAAGCAACCCAACCAAACATTTGAACACTTAAGCAAATAAGCAGAACTAGAACTTGCATTATTCATTTTGTTTGTCACCATTACATTCAATTTGAACATGTCATTCAAGGCATATCCTTTTCCCAGAAACATACCATTTTTGGATAAAACAAACTTGTCCGACTTAAACACAAGCTTAAAACCAAATTGATTCAACAAACCAACCGACATCAGATTCTTACGAAGTTCAGGAACATAAAAAACATCCCTAAGTTTCACATCTTTCCCCGAAGTCATTTTTAGAATGACATCACCAACACCTTTGATATACGCGGTAGCTGCATTTCCCATGTAGGGCTTTTCACCATCTATAATTTCCTTGTAGGTGTTGAAAACACTCTTATCATGATACGCATGACGAGTAGCCCCTGTTTCAATCCACCACTCCTTTGAATTTATATTCATGAGATTCACTTCAGAAACCATAGCCATGAAATCAATTATCATGGCCAACAACTCCATGTTATCATTCGCCATGTGACCCGGTTGCCCACAGTTGTAGCACTTGAACTTCTTCTTGAAAGTTCCTGCCTTGGGGCTTATTTTTGCACCATTTGCTTTCCTTTGTGAGGTACCTTGATTTTGCTCTTGGAATTTTGACTAGCTTCCACCATATGAACCTTAGAAGATTGAACTTCATTGCCTTTCTTCAAGGCTATTCGATTGTCTTCTTCAATGCGAAGACACACCACTGGTTCTGCCACGGACATCTCCTTTTGCTTATGCTTAAGGTAGTTTTTGAAGTCTATCCAACCGGGAGGAAGCTTTTCAACCATTGATGCAACTTGGAATGACTCATTAAGATCTATTCCTTCTACATTGTTATCATGTATGATGACTTGAAAATCTTGGATGTGACTCATAACATATTTTGAGTCAACCATTTTGTATTCCAAGAACTTAGCAACAACATGCTTCTTGGTACCATCATCTTCTATCTTATACTTCTTTCCAAAGACTCGGATAGTTCCTTAGCAGTTGCAACTTTATAATAGACATTTTAAAGTGAATCAGTTAGGTTATTTAACACATAGTTGCGGCATAGAAATTCTGAATGCTTCCATGCATCCACTGCATTCACAGATTGAGCATCTTCCTGCCCCTCAACAATTACTAGAGCAATTTCTGTTAGGAAACAAGCCACGTTCAAAGTGGTCAAGTAGAATACCATTTTCTGCTTCCACCTCTTGAAGTTTAAACCCGAAAATTTTTCAGGTCTCTCAGCATGATTAGCCATGATGTTTGGAACCGTTGCATTTGGGTTCACAGTAGGGGTAGCAACAACAACATGAGTTCCAGTAGCAACGGGAGTTCCAATCATTCTGAAAGAGTGGTAGCCAGAGTTAAATTGATTATAGGA